TCACTAGTTATTTTGGTAAATTGACATTTTTTTGGTAGAGGAAGGAAATTAGCTCAAAAACCATATCTTGTTAAGATAGATCAGGCATGAGCTCTCAAGATGACTCATCAGGTTTAAAAACACTTGCTCCCAAGCCTGTCGACCTGAGTTTGAGCCTCATAATCCAGATGGTCTAAGGAGAGAACTGACTCCTAAATGTTATTCTCTGACCTCTGCACATGTACCATGGCATGCCCCTTCAATAAATAATCAAATTAATAGAAAATTTTAGATATCTATCGGATATAATGTGCTTAAGCCTAATAGATACTTTTTTTTGGTCATTTTGAGACAGGATTTTTCTGTAATCCCAGCTGGCCTGGAATTCCCAATGTAGACCAGGCTGGCCTCAAACTCTCAGAAATCTGTCTGCCTCTGCCTCCCAAGTGCTGGAATTAAAAGAATAGAATCCTTTATGTTTGTAGTTTATCAAAAAAATATATAGTAGTGCCTACAACAGACCTATACAAGAATGCTTGGCAGTGATGAAGATGTTTTGTATATGCCTGTCTGCTGTCACAGGCTCTACTTATTTTAGTTACTTTTCTGTTGTGATTAAAACACCATGACCAAGGAAACTTATAGAAGGAATGGTTTATGGGGCTGGAGAGATGGCTCAGTGGTTAAGTGCACCGGCTGCTCTTGCAGAGGACCTGAGTTTGATTCCCAGCACCCACATGGCAACTAACAATCACCTGTAACTCCGGTTCCAGGGGAATTCAACGCCCTCTTCTGTCCTCCATGGGCATTGCAGGACTCAGGTACCCTTAATAGAGGCATAAGACTCATACACAGAAAACAAAAATAAATTTTAAAAATTTTAAAAAGAAGGAATGGTTTATTTGCCTTACAGTTCTAGAAGGATGAGAGTCTGTCATGGTGGGAAGGCATTGTGGCAGAGGTGTCTAGAACAGAAAGCTGAGAGTTCTTATCTTCAACCACTCAGCTCACAGGAAGCAGAGAGAGGAAGTTGGAAGTGAGGCAAGGCTAAGAGCTCTCAAAGCCAGTGATATGCTTTCTCCAGCTAAGCCACACCCCCTAAAGGTTCTGTGATCCTCTCCAAATAGTGGAACCAACTGACCAAGTGTTCAAACACTTGAGCCTAATGGTGAACACTTCTCATTTAAACCAATACACTGGCCGTGATGAGCACTTCAAAAGTGGGTAATAAAGCTCAGTGAATTTTTAGCCTCATTTGATTTTCTTGTTTTAAAAAAATTGTCATTTAGAACTAGGTATGGTGGTGCATACCTGTAATTCCTTACATTCAGGAAGCTGAGGTGTGAGGATTGTGAGTTTGAGGACAGCCTCGGCTATATAGCTAGATCCAGTTAAAAAATTATCATCCAATAACATTGATTCTTCTTGGGTGTATACTTCTGTGATTTTTCTCTTTCTGTTTAATGTTTTCCTTAGTTTTGCATTGAACTCAGCACACTACACATGCTAGGCTTTTTTTCTTTTAGTTTTGTGATTGTTAATGTAACTGAATAGATGGGCTCCCACGTTGGCAAGTGCAAAAGCTAACACAAGCTCAGCCAAAACGTAATTGAGTTGAGCAAGATTTATTACCTGCAGCAGAGAAGGAGGGCAGGGTAATTATTTCCAAAGCAATGCTTTGGTAACTGAGGAAGCATGCTGCTTTTATTCAAGAAGCCTACACATTTTCATCCAGGGGCAGGGCCATTGCTGAGCATGCGCAGTTAAGCAATCCATTCCTGATTATATTCAGTGTAACATCATAAATTAAGAAGGAAAGATAGTAGGCACATTTTTTGGAGCATGCTTAGCTTAAAAAATCATGGAGCACATGTTCAAAATGTTAGGACCTGAATGCCTCCGGGCATGCTCAGTTTGTGTCAAAAAAAGTTTTAGCTGAAAAGAAATGTAAAGAACACTTTGAAGGTGTGTTAATATAGGAGTATGCCCCTAAAGGCTCCTGCCTTTAGCAGGAGCTATCATAAATGCATGTACAGAGCCGGGCATGATGGCACATGCCTCTAATCCCAGCACTTGGGAGGCATAGGCAGGCCTCTAGGAGTTCAAGGCCAGCCTGTTCTACACAGTGAGTTCTAGGCCAGCTGGAGCTACAGGGAGACCCTGTCTCAGAACAACAAAACAACAACAACAAAACCCAAAACCATGTACAGATCTGTTATATACCACCATGACCACAGGACAGCACAGCATCATCACTCCCCAAATCTCTCTGTGCTACCTAACCCCCACACCTAGCTCCTGGCAACCACTAATGTGTTCTTCTTTAGCTAGGATGTCTAAATTATTTAAAGTTTTTTCTTTGTAACACTCAGGATCACCCCAGGGCCTTGCACAGTCTAAGCAAATACTCTTACAGCTAAGCTACACCTCTGTTTATTTTCTTAATCGGAACATCATTGACCTCAGGGGAGTGAGATTAAAAAGAGGTTTTATTTGTATTGGGCGTGGTTCCAGCACTTGGGAGACAGAGGCAGGCAGATCTCTGTGTGTTTGAGGCCAGCCTGGTCTGCATAGTGAGTTCCAAGCCAGCTGGGGCTATAGGGAGACCCTGCCTCAAAAAGACAAAAAAAGAGGTTCTATTTGATAATGCAAAGACCCAAAACCCTGTATTTGATAGTGGCTACCATTATACTGCATTTATTTTAAAACTATATGTCTAAACTATGCTTTGTGGGTTTTTTTGTTTTGTTTTTCTGTTTGTTTTTGAGACAGGGTCTCCCTGTAACTTCAGCTGGCATAGAATTCACTATGTAGACCAGGCTGTCCTCATTCTCACAGAGATCACCTGCCTCTGCCTCCCCAGTGCTGAGATTAAAGGCCTACTCCACCATGCCCAGCTTTATACATTGTTTTTGAGATAAGATCTCATCATGTAATTAAGGCTGTACTGTAATTTCTTATATAGCCCAGGCTGACCTTAAACTCAGAATTCTTCCCAGCTTCCTGAATGCCTAATTACAGGAGTGCACCAGCATGCCTGCTTTAATTCTGCTTTTTCATGGAAAATGTTATATGGTGTAATCTAAAACTAATGTAAACTATTTTCACATTTTTGTTTTGGATCATTTATGCTAGTCATCTCTTCCACAACTAACAAGCTAGCCAAGTAGAATTCTTCGAGTCTTAGGACCCCTCCATTCCATGGTTCAGATTTTCTTTTTTTAAAGTTTTTTATTGAATTTTTGTGTACTTCATACAGAAAATCATCTTTATACCCTCTTTCTCTTTGGCACCCTCCCATAGCCCCACTATACATTCTGTTGTTTGTATTAAGATCTATCATGTAAAGTTATTGTTCCCAGATCTCTCTCAGTGCATGTTCCTCCACTGGGATCTATTCAGCCTATCTAGAGTCCCTCCTGTTAAGAAGATCAGCTCTTCCACACCCAGCAGTAATCACTTGCCAATAATTCTTTGACTAAGATTGGGGCCTGCTGTCCATTTCAACAGTTCTGTGCTGGGTTTTTGTCTGCTTAAGTTTGCTTGGGTCTTATGCATGCAGACACCATTGCTGCAGTTTTATATGAGAAGGGCCCCAGGTGCCTGTAGGACTATTTTCGTATGGTCATGCACCTCCTCCCTGACTCTTAAAATCCCTCTGCCCCCTCTTCCACAATGGTCCCTGAGCCTTGGGTGGTTGGATTGAGTGGATTGTCCATTGTGTTTCAGATTTTCATCAAATGCATTGTTACCAGTTACTAAACTAAAGGAAGAAATAAAGATGAAGTTCATTAAAATGAGCAAAGCATTTAACCATACTATTATAGAGGATTTAAAATGAGATTTTCTACTCTAAATTCATTGAACTATATTTTTTAATTTTGAAAAAAAGATTTTTATGTGTATTAGTGTATTGGCTGCATGCATGTAAGTGCACCCATGTTTTGCAGTGCCCACAGAGGTCAGAAGAGGGTGTTGGATCCCTTGGAACTAGAGTTACAGATGGTTGTTAGCTGCCATGTGGGTGCTGGGAACTGAACCTGGGTACTCTGCAAGAGTAGTCAGTACTTTTAACCACTGAGCCATCTCTCCAGCCTCTAAACTGTATTTTTGCATTGTTTTTGTAGTACGGAACAAAGATTTCCTAGTTAGGAATTAATAATAATGGTGTCCTTTGTTAACTGTCATTTGAACATTATTCTACTGATGTTTCAACATCAGGTCTAGCACCAAATTCATCATTTATTCTTTCCCTCTACTCCAACCTCTAATGATCTCCTGTTTTCTTCCTCTTTGGTATTATTTAACATCACTGCCATCTGCCGAGTGGTCTAAGCAAGAGAACTGTAAACGATTCTAATCAGTTTCCCTACCATCTATCTTGTTAGTAGGTCTTGTTCTGCTAAATGTCTCATGGAACTGCCTCTTTTCTCTTTTTCCTAGTGTCCATGTCTTAATTCAGAGCCTGTATTGCACTACTGTTGCAATTGTAGTAGCCTCCTAATTGATAGCCCTCTAGCCAGCCCATCATCTTCTATTTGGCCTCTGCCATGATTCTTCTGTACAATGCAAATCTCATGCCATCCCCTTTACATACCTTTTTCATGGTGCTCAATTGTCAGTGAGATAAATTACTATTTTTGACACACAAGACCTCATAAGGGAGCAGTTATTTCATTCCCAGCCTCTCATCTTTTTTACTTTTGTGCTCCCATACCAGTTGCCTACAGTTACCTGCCTCTTACATCTTTTTTGATTTCTTTTGTCTTTTGATAGTCAGGTATTATCTCCTTTAAGAAGCCTTTCCTGAGCCATAGTCTCAGGGATCAATGGGTGGTCACCTTCTGTATTTTCTCTCCCAACATTGTTCCCTGTGACTGTGCCATGTTCTGCTTTGTGTCCTAAGAATCCTATTTCCTGGTATATATAACAAGTGCTTGGTAAATATTAGTTGCTCGATATTCTTAATTCCTATGTCATGTAGTTGAATTAAACTGACTTCTGAAATTTCTTTCTAAAAGGTTTCACTAGAAGAAAAAAGTGCAACTATTATTTATGACCCTAAACTACAGACTCCAAAGACTCTACGAGATGCTATTGATGACATGGGCTTTGATGCTATTCTCTACAATCCTAACCCTGTCCCTGTTCTAACCAATACCGTGTTTCTGACTGTTACTGCTCCACTGGCTCTGCCATGGGACCACATCCAAAGCACATTGCTCAAGACCAAGGGCGTGATTGATGTGAAGATTTCCCCTCAGCAAAGAACTGCAGTAGTAACGATAATCCCTTATATAGTGAGTGCCAGTCAGATTGTAGAGCTGGTTCCAGACCTCAGTTTAGACGTCGGAACTCAGGAGAAAAAGTCAAGAGCTTGTGAAGAGCACAGTGTGTCTCAAGCAGGTGAAGTCATGATGAAGATGAAAGTGGATGGGATGACCTGCCATTCGTGCACTAGCACCATTGAAGGAAAAATTGGGAAGTTGCAAGGTGTTCAGAGAATTAAAGGTAATACAGCTGGTGTTGTTTTGTTTGATTGTTTTGTAAGGCTGTTCTCTGTTTTGATCTTTTAACTTTCTGCTTTCTTCTCAAGCATGAGTTTTGAATCTGTGGGCCTGGAATTGCTTCCTTCTTCATTGAAGTTGGAGGCATAGCGTATTCCCAGGATTAATGTCAGTGAAGTTAATGATTATAATTAAAGGTTATGAGAGTCTTGAACTTTAGCAGGAAAGGCAGCTGGGGTAATGATTCATGGAGTTCTGGGTTGTTAGCACAGCCTGTCAGGGTGCTCTTTACCTGTAATTCATTTCTACCCAAGTAGTGCAGTAAGTTGGAGACCATAAGAACAGTGGTCATATCTTTTACTTGCTTCCTGTGTTTGTTAATCACAGTTTCTGGAAAGATCAATAGTATTTAAGAGAAGGTGTTGAGAGAGAGAAACAATGGTTGATTTGGAAGTGGCCCAGGAATAACTAAGTTAAATAATTATGTTTCTGTTTATTAACTAGTTTCCCTAGACAACCAAGAAGCTACTGTCGTTTATCAACCTCATCTTATCACAGCAGAGGAAATAAGGAAGCAGATTGAAGCTGTTGGCTTTTCAGCCTTTATCAAAAATAAGCCCAAGTACCTCAAATTGGGAACCATTGATGTTGAGAAGCTGAAGAACACACCAGTCAAATCTCCAGAAGGATCACAGCAAAGGAGCCTGTCGTATCCCAGTGACTCCACAGCCACGTTTGTCGTAGAGGGCATGCACTGTAAATCGTGTGTGTCAAATATTGAAAGTGCATTATCTACACTCCAGTATGTAAGCAGCATAGTAGTTTCTTTAGAGAATAGGTCTGCCATTGTAAAGTACAATGCCAGCTTGATCACTCCAGAAATGCTGAGAAAAGCGATAGAGGCTGTTTCACCAGGGCAATACAGAGTCAGTATTGCAAATGAAGTTGAAAGTACCTCCAACTCTCCCTCTGGCTCATCTCTTAAAAAGATTCCTTTGAATATTGTTAGCCAGCCTCTGACTCAAGAAACTGTGATAAACATTAATGGCATGACTTGTAATTCTTGTGTGCAGTCTATAGAGGGTGTCATATCAAAAAAGCCAGGTGTAAAATCCATCCATGTCTCCCTCGCAAATAGTACTGGGACTGTTGAATATGATCCTCTACTAACCTCTCCAGAAACCTTGAGGGAAGCAATAGAAGACATGGGATTTGATGCTGTCTTGTCAGGTAATCATCTTTTTTTCTTTGATTTTTCCTAATGTTTTTGCATTTCCATTTGTTTTTTTCACTGGCCTTCTACCAACAAGAAATGATTCATATCCACTGAAATTCCACTTCCTATGAAGAAGCCCTATGCGAAAGTCAGCATTGCATATAAAGATGCCTGAGGATGTCTAGCCATTTACAATGCCTAAAAAGTTAGAGACAGAGCTGGAAAGATGGCTCAATGGTTAAGAAGACCCAGGTTTGAATCCTGGCACCCACATGGTGGCTAACAACCATCTGTAACTCCTTCCAGGGGATCCAATGCCCTCTTCTGTTCTCCACGGGCACTGTATGACATGGGTGCACTTACATACACACAGGCATAACACTCATGCACAGAAAATAAAAATAAACACATAAAAAAAATTAAAAAGCTACAGACAGGGCAAGTACAGTGACTCATATCTGTATCCCGGTACTTAGGAGCCTGAGGCTGGAGAACTGCCACAAGTTCCAGGCCAGCCTCTCTATGAGTAAGATCTTGTCTCAGAAACCAAAACCAGCTAACTAACCAAGCGAACAAACTATAAACAATAAATTGAGGTATAACCATTATAGCCGGGTGTGGTGGTACACGTCTTTAATCCCAGCACTCGGGAGGGAGAGGCAGGTGGATCTCTGTGAGTTTGAGGCCATCCTGCTCTACATAGCAAGTTCCATGCCAGCTGGGGCTACAGGGAAAACCTGTCTCAAAAATACAAAAAAAAATTTATGGAATAACCATTTGATGAAATGCTGTGAAGCTACAAACAATTATGTTAAATATTATTTTAGCTAGGCATGGTGGTGCACACCTTTAATCCAAGCACTCAGGAGGCAGAGGCAGGCGGATCTCTGTGAGTTTGAGGCCAGCCTGGTCTACATAGTAAGTTCCAAGCCAGCTGGGGCTACAGGGAGACCCTGTCTCAAAAAGACCCCCCAATTTTTTTTATTATTTTTATTTTATGTGTACAAGTGTTTTGCCTGCATGTGTATAAGTGTACCCATGTCATGCAGTGCCTCAGAGGCTAGAAGAGGGCATTGGATCCCCTGAAACTGGAGTTACAGATGGTTGTTAGCTGCCATATGGGTGCTGGGAATTGAACCTGGGTCCTCTGCAAGAGCAGCCAGTGCTCTTAACCACTGAGCCATCTCTTAACCCCTCAATTTTGTTTTTAGACTTGGGTCCCATCCCCAAGATGCCTCATGATACTTATTACATTTACCAAAATCTGAAACATAATTGAGAGAGTCATGATAACAGTCACTCATATTGGGATATGAGGTTGATGCCAAATATGTGCATTTTATGGTTCTCCTAGAGATCAATTACAGTTTAAGATGCCACCAGTATTGTGATGAGCACTCTACTACTGAGCTGCACCCCCACCCCCAAACTATTTTTGTTGTCTAAGTTGTAGTTAAGTTTTGATGGTAATTATGAGAGAATGAAAGAAGCCTCTAGCTAGAGCAAAATGATAGTGTTATTCAATGCCAACTATTACCTTTTGCGAGGTAAGCAACAGTGGTTCTATTTGGTACATTTTGTCTTCTGTGTTCTAAATAATGCTCTCGCAATCTGAATGAATTTTGCTTTTTTGAGTGATTTACTTAAGACCAGAGACTGTCTAATTTGTCCTTTGCTTCTTTGCACTGGCTTGGTGGCACAACCTCCCAAATTCCCAGCATTTGGAAGGCTGGGCAGGAAGATAGCATGTTCAGGGGTAGTCTGGACTACATAGTTAGACACTTTCTGGAATTGGAGGGCAATTAGGTAGCTTTTTGTACACTATATTGTTACAGTTCTATTTTATTGTTAGTCGTTGAAACCTTACTGTGCCTCATTCATAAATTAAGCTTTATCATATATAGAAACCATAGGGTGACACAGTACTATTAGCAGTTTTGTGAACCTATTGTGGGTCTTGAAAAGTTTCCCCCATAGATAAGGGAGAACTGCTTTAATGGCAGTATGAAAATTGTCAGCATAATGTTGGAAGTTCATTGCAAGCATAAGAACTGTCCAGTAACCAATTATTCTCTACCTGGGGTTGGAGGTAGAGATAAACAGCTAGAACCTGGTAGAACTAAAGCTTTCTATATCACTTGGGTCAGGTTTTCTTGAGACCTGCAGGGGTTAGTAACGAAATTCGAAGTCACTGCTGGGAAAGGGGAATGACAGTATATTTGGAGGCTTATATATAGGACCTTGCTGATTTTAAAGAAATGGGTTGGCAGGCCTGGAAGTATGATTTATGATGTGTGACAGGGTGGCAGATGGAGAATAATTGATACAACAAATGAAATAAAACTTTTCCTTTCTACCAGACATGAATGAGCCATTGGTGGTGATAGCTCAGCCCTCATTGGAAATACCACTTTTGCCTTTAACCAATGAACCAGGTAGAATGATGTCACCAGTTCATAACAAGGAGGAAGCAAAAACTTCATCTAAGTGTTACATACAGGTCTCTGGAATGACTTGTGCTTCTTGTGTAGCAAACATTGAACGGAATTTAAGACGAGAAGAAGGTAAGATACTCTTAAACATTGTTATTTTGTGTACTTGTTTCCAAATTATTTCCCATTTATGTTTTATGATCATATTTGTAATTCTTTCCAAGACTTCATAAAGATCATCCATGATGCCCTAAACAGCCCTGATTTTCTGGTAGTGTTTGTTAGTGTTATCTCATTATCTTATGAGCACATTTTAATGCTGGTGAAGTTTACTGAAAACTTTACAGCAGAAGAAAATACATAGTACTACTTGTTTGTGAATCATAGCCGTAATGGACTTTAAGAAATGTACGTTTTTTGTTAAAGCTATCCTTAAAACTGACAGCTAGAAGCCATACAAGTTTAAGTATAGCCTTCCTGGACCAAGCCCCAGATCCAAATTGCATTTATTTAGAGTTATGTTGTCTTTTCTAACAGTTTCACCTCTGATCTTTGCTTATGGTAAAATGTCCAAAAGTTGCATAGTATTTGTGTATTTTAATCTCAGGCTGCAGAACCTTTGAAAATCAGCATCACAGTTTTTAAAATCCATCCACATTCAGATGTTTTTAGCTTGTAAATTTACACTTATATTTATAGACTTCTCAGTATAGCATAATAGCTTAGTCAACCATACAGATATGTGATTATGTTTGATGAGACCAGAGTCTTAAGGTAGGCTGCCCTAATCCTACATATCTTAATGAGAGATGTAACTCACAAGGCTGAATGAGGAAGTAGAGATTAATGTGGCAAGCATATCCTGGACACTGGGGAAATGATGCCAACTGTAATTATCACATCTTCTGCTTTAAGACCAGGGCACCATTTTTGAGAAATGTAGGGCATACAACTTCCATGTCTGCATTCGATTATTTGTGCGTCATTTGTTTCAGCCCCCATTTTTCCTGTCGGACTGGAATGCAGTCAAAGCTGTGTTTGATTTGTTAAAAGCAAAAGGAGGGTAGAGGTCGGTAGATCTCTGTGAGTTCAAGGCCAGCCTGATCTACATAATGAGTTCCAGGGAAGCCAGTGCTACGTAGTGAGACCATGTCTCATACTAAATAAATAGAAAGCAAGAAAGAAAGAAAAGAAAGAAAAGGAAAGAAAGGAGGACTGTTGCCAAGCAGATGGAGGCAGAGGAGTCGTGTGCACAGTTCCTGTTTGAGAACTATTTTGGGACAGTTCAGAAATTTCCTTTTTACGAAGCAAGCAATGTCTACACCAGCTACAGGTTTTCTTGTCAGTGCTCGGGATTAATCCCAGGGCCTCTTGAATGCTAAGATACCTGATTTGTTACTAAGCTACACTCCAAGCCCCCATTTTAAAATGTGTTAAACTAGTTCTCTCACTTAATCCATACTGTCCTCTTTACCACCTCTTAACCTAACTAGAAACACCATTAGCCTAGCCTTGGTTACTAAGTAGCAGTGGGCTTTCCTCATTACATCTGTATTATGCTCCTTTTAAAAAGCCTAGAGGTGCTAAGAGTACAGCTCAGTGGTATAGTGTAGCTCATTGGTAAAGTGTGTGTCTAGCCTGTGTAAGGTCTTGTGTTCAATTCCTAGTACCCTTCCAAACAGAAAAGACTAGAAAGAGCTCTAATTATAGTTGGCAGAATTTTTAAAATGATAACTTACATAAGTGATTGAATTTATACTTTTGAGACTTGAAAATTGTATTTTTCTTCTATTTCTACCTGGCTATAGATTACATTCAACAGAAGCACAAATGTTTATTATATATTTTCTGTGTTGCCCTTCTCTTCTTACAGACCTTTTTTTCCCTGAACTGATTATCTGAATAATTTTGTACCCATAAAAGTAAAAATGAGATTATATTAGGCACTCTTAAAACTAAAATCTGTTAATAAATAAATATTTAATTTTTAAAAATCAGACTCAGAGCTGACCTATGTACTCTTGGTCCTCGTTTGATGTTAGGAAGCTTCCAAGTACCTTAGGCTCCTAGAAAGAGCTATTTTTGCTGTGTGGAGTTAATTAGCTTCCTGGCAGTCACAGCTGTAGTTGGCCTAGAAAAGTAGAAGTTACTAATGAAAGTTTGCATCAGCAAATAGCATTCTGTTAGAAAATGACCTCCTTTGCTTTATTGACAAGTTATATTGCTCCTTTTTAGATTAGTATGAGACAGTAAAACTTGAGAACTTTTTAAATGGCTATCATTTGATATTATAGTGTGTATTGATACATTCTTGGATTTTTGGCTATAATTACAATGACTTCCCAAGTGTATGTATACATTCACTTCCCTAGTAGTTTTTCTTCTCTCTCTATCTCTCATATTCTCCTTTTCCCTCTCCCTCTCTATCCCTTCCTCTCTCCCTTCCTTTCCTTTTTTATGAGCTCAGATCTCATGTAGTGGAGTTCAAGGTTGACCTCACTGTGTGACCAAGAATGACTTCAAATTTCTTTTTTTTAATTAATTTTTTTTAATTTTTAAATTGATTTTCATACAATATAATTTGATGATATTTGGATTCCCTCCCCTATCCACACCTCCCCTTATTACCCCCTGCACAATTTAATGTACTCTATTTTATATATATATATATATGTGTGTGTGTGTGTGTATATAGATATATAGATATATAGATATATATATGGCCTATAGAGTCTAATTTGTGTTTCCAAATGTTGTTCAGTGTGGGTCCATCCACTGGAGCCTGGTTACTCTACCAGGAGTCCAATGTTTGAAAGAGACTGTCTCTGCTCCTTCCAGCAGCCATCTGTTACCACAATTTCCATAGGTGGGGTTGGAGCTTCTTACCCATTTCTTCATGTTTATGCTGGGATTTTTTTTTCTGGTTTAAACTTGCATGAGACTTGTGCATGCTGTGAGTTCATATGAGTAACTGACCAGCTGCATGGAAAATTTGTTTCCTCGTGGTCTTCTACCATCTCTGACTCTTATAGTCTTTCTGCCCCCTCCACAGTGATCCCTGAGCCTTGGGAAGCAAAAGTTTGATAGAGGTGTCCTATTCAGGATAAGCACTCTGTAGCCTCTTGTTTTCTGTATGTTGGCCAGTTGTGGGTTTCTGTGTTAATTATCATCTTTTCATAAGGAAACTTTTTTGGGGGGAGGGCTGGAGAGATGGCTCAGTGGTTATGAGCATTGACTGCTCTCACAGAGGACCTGGATTTGGTTCCCAACACCCACATGATGGCTAACAACCATCTATAACTCTAGTTCCAGGAGATTCGACACCCTCTTTTGACTTCTTTAGGCACTGCACAATACAGGTGCACTTTCATACATGCAGGCAATATACTTGTACACATAAAATAAAAATAATAAATAAATTTTAAAAATTAAAACAGCCAAGTATTATCAATAATTACTTAAGTTCAGTGATGAGTATATCAAAATGGTTACATTATTCTCCCTTTCACACATATATAAGTAAAAAATAAAGCTTTGTATGGTAAGTTTAAGAAAACAAGACCAGCCGGCATGGTAGCTCACGCCTGTAGTCCCAGCACATGGGAGGCAGAGGCAGGTGGATCTCTGTGAGTTCAAAGCCAGCCTGGTCTATATAGTGAGTTCCAGGACAGCAGGGGCTACAGGGAGACCCTGCTTCAAAAAAAAAGAAAAAACTTACATAAAAAATTGAGTAATTTCTGCAAATTCAGTTTAATCCTTTTGCAGTTAAATGAAACTATCAAAAGTATTTATAACATAACTCATTTTATAAAGCCTATTTTCAGCATTGTTTCTCTTCTCAATGTTCCTAGGAATATATTCTGTACTTGTGGCCTTGATGGCTGGCAAGGCGGAAGTAAGATATAATCCGGCTATTATCCAACCTCCACTGATAGCAGAGTTCATCCGAGAGCTTGGATTTGGAGCCACTGTGATTGAAAATGCTGATGAAGGGGATGGGGTTTTAGAACTTGTTGTAAGTAGGAATTTTTGTATGAGCACTGAGATTTCCAGCAGAAACTTGGAGAGACTTTCATAAAAGAGTTCTGAAGATAATTGAAAGCTTGGAAAATAAAGTATATTATGAAAATGAAGGAAACTGGAACTAGGAAGATATGGCTTAGTGATAGTCTTCAAGTATGGAATGGCCATGTCTTTTTAAAAACCAAAAGAAGGCCTGGTGTGGTGGTGCATGACTTTAATCTCAACACTTGGGAGGCAGAGGCAGGTGGATCTCTGTGAGTTCGAGGCCAGCCTGTTCTATATAGCGAGTTCCAGGCCAGCTGGGGCTACAGGGAGACCCTGTCTCAAAGCCCCCCTCCCCCCAAAAAAAGCATTCTTGGGCTGGGAAAATGGCTCCGTGGTATTGGAATTTGAATCCCCAGAATCCATGTCAAAAGCCAGGTGGGCATGGCAGCCTGCCTGTGATCCCAGCACTTGGGAGATGAAGATGGGATACCAGGGCAACAGAGCAAGCTGGCTAGCTGAAGCTAGAAAGCTCTGTATTCAGCTAGAGACCCTGCCTCGGTAAATGGGTGGAGGGCGATCAAGGAAGACACCCAACATCTACCTCTGGCCTCAACACACTTGAACACACGTACATCACACCCGCACAGACACAACAATAATAAATAGATTTCATTATTAAGCTTTATTAAGATAAGGTATAATTCATAAGCCAGGTATGGTAATGCACACCTTTAGTCCCAGCACTTGGGAGGCAGAAGCGGGCGGATTTCTGGGAGTTCAAGGCCAGCCTGATAATTCATACACTAGACAATTCACTCATTGAAAATGTACCATTTCATGAATTTTAATATATTCATAGCTTAGTACAGCTGCCCCCAGAATCAATTCTGGACCTTTTTCATTATGCCTAAAAATCCCCAGACCTATCAGAGGTGTCACTCTCTCATAAAAACAGAATTCTGTGGACTAGAGAGATGGCTCAGCACTTAAGAGCACTGGCTGTTCTTGGCAGAGGACCTGGGTTTGATTCCCAGCACCCACATGGTAGCTAACAGCTGTCCATAACTCCAGTTCCAGGGGATCTGACACCCTTTTCTGACTTCTGAGGCCATTGCATGACATTGGTACACTTACATATGTGCAAGCAATACACTCATACACACAAAATATAAATAAAAAATAGAATTCTAATGATTATATCAAAAGCATACCAATAACACAGATAAAATATTGCAAGACAGTCCTGTGTTGATAGTCCTTTCAGTGAGAAGTACTAACTCCTTTTTAACTGAGGAAAAAGTATGTTTCTGAATAACAAAAGATTTGTTTTTAACAGGTAAGAGGAATGACCTGTGCCTCCTGTGTACATAAAATAGAGTCTACACTCACAAAGCACAAGGGGATCTTTTACTGCTCTGTGGCCCTGGCAACCAACAAAGCACATGTTAAATATGATCCAGAAATGATTGGTCCTAGAGATATTATTCATATAATTGAAGTAAGTGCCAAGACTGTGCATATCTTTTTTTTTTAACCTCTCCAGTCAATACTCCTGGAATCACCCCTCATTTGCGTTCGCTAGAGACAATGGAAAAAAAATGGAAATACTCTAACTCCTTTGGATACTCCATAGAAGAATATTAGTATAAGTGTATCTGCTTTTTTCCATGGCCTTCATTTCAAAAATTTAGACAAAGCTACATTTGCTCTATTAATCGCAAGTAGACTTAAACTAGAACTTTAAATCAAAGTATTTGGAAAATGGACATAAAGTACAATTTATAAAGAAGATTCCAGCTAATCACTATGAAATTAAAGCACCATGACAGATGCATTAGTGCTTGTTACTATTGTGCCCAGTTCGCGAGACCCCAAAGACCACCAAGGAGCCGACCGATGCAAACACACAAGGGTTCTTTTATTGTTACAAGCTTAAGCTTGGTCCCACTCTGTCACTGACTTAGCGGATCTCAGATGTGAGACCCCTTGCTTTGGGAGACAGAGGTTTTTATAGGTTTATTTCAGCAAGTTCAGCAAGTAGGGGAGTAGGGGGTCTCCAGCCTGGCAAGCATCTGATTGGTTGCAGCTCAGTGCCAAACCATAAACTGCTGGCTTCAGGAAATCTGAAGAGATATCTGGACTTTTAATACCTTCCTGTCCCTGGTTAATTGGTCGTTGGCGGGGGACATGTTCTCTATCCGTTCCAAGTATTGTGATTTTTCTTGGAACAGGGCCCAGGGCTGGGTCAGTCCTATGGAGATTTTGTCCAAGATGGAGTCACTCAGGTCTCTCATTACACCAAAGCAAAAACAAACAAAATGACTTTCAAATTAAAGTAAAAAAATTAAAGATTAAATCCTTTCTTTGTGCTAAATCCTTCCTGTGCTCTTCAATATATTTTAAGCAGTAATATATGTAAATGTGCTTTAAAATTTCAGTGTGCTGTGAAAGTGGTGTTCTAATGATGTAAAGCATATGAACAGTTCAAATAAGATCCTATTAATATAAGCTCCAACACCACTAGAATCTTTGAAGTTGGCATTACTGAGTATCTTTCGTAAATGCCATCACCAGGAGTGCTAAGCTTCATTTCTAAATTCTCACAGCAGGCTGCTATCTTATTTCAGAAGTTACTTGTTGAGTCTCACAGGATTTGGTCCCAATCACTCTGTCCCCAAAGCTCACACTTGTTCCTTTCACTGTGTTACACTGCCAACAAATGTGATATGAGAGCCGTTTCCCTGGCAGTTGAAAATATAGTCTCTGCAACTGTCCAACCTCCCATGAGTCTTACTTAGGCATAATCTCCTTTTTATACATTGTTATATTGGGGGAAAATAATTTTGTTCATGTTCTTTTTCAGTTGGAATAAGAATAGAGACAATGTAGGCAAGGCCTTGGACAATGTATTTAACAAGGTGCTAGCTATTGTACTCTGTCATTAAAAATCTGAGTACAGCTGCACTTGAGTTAAATTGTTAATTTGAGAGCTGTGGGACAGATATTAACTAGAATCAATGGGCTATTAATTTCTTGGCAACATTAGAAAAAGTAATCAAAGCAGAAAGCTCTGGATGGCTTCATGCTTTTATTCCCTAGAATGACTTGCACTTAAGAATTGAACGGAATAGCTCTAAACAGTAACAGCATGGCTTAGAATTTCTCTGCATAAACTGGGCGTGGTGGCGCATGCCTTTAATCCCAGCACTTGGGAGGCAGAGGCAGGCGGATCTTTGTGAGTTCAAGGTCAGCCTGGTCTACATAGTGAGTTCCAGGGCAGCTGGGACTACAGGGAGACCCTGTCTCAAAAAACAAAAAAGAATTTCTCTACATAATATATGTATACATTGAGTGAAGTGACTTTTTTCTCATGAATTTCCTTAGAGCTTAGGTTTTGAAGCTTCTTTGGTCAAGAAGGATCGGTCAGCAAGTCACTTAGACCATAAACGAGAAATAAAACAGTAAGTACTTTGGGATTGTAAATAAAAATAGGTTTTAATTCCTCATTAGAATTTTTTTTTTTTTTTTTTTTTTTTTTTTGCGACAGGGTTTCCCTGTAGCCCCAGCTGGCCTAGAGCTCATTATGTAGAGCAGACTGGCTGTGATCTCAGAGATCTGCCTGCTTCTGCTTCCTGAGAACTAGAATTAAAGATGTGTACCATTATTCCTGTTAGCACGTCAGTTTTTATGATACCAATTTTTTTGTTTTTTTGGTCTTTTTTGAGACAGGGTCTCCAAGTAGCTACAGCTGACCTGGAACTCGCTGTGGACACCGGGCTAGCCTCCATCTCACAGAGATACACCTCCCTCTGCCTCACAAGTGCTAGGATTAAAGGCGTGTGCCACCATGCCTGGTGATTCTTTTTTTTTTTTTTTTTTTTTTTTTTTTTTTTTTGTCTTTTTGAGACAGGGTTTCCCTGTGGCCCAGCTGTCCTGGAACTCACTGTGTAGACCAGGCTGGCTTTGAACTCACAGAGATCCACCTGCCCCTGCCTCCTGAGTGCTGGGACTATAGGCGTGCACCACCACGCCTGGCTGATTATTTTTTAAGATTTGTTTTTATTTTTAAATTACATGTATATGTCTGTATATGAGTATGTGCATGTGAGTGCAGGTGCCCATGAAGTCCAGAAGGGGGTGTCAGATTCCCCTGAAGTTAGAGTTACAGATAGATGTGAACTGCCTGGTGTGGGTTCTCAGAACTGAACTCAGCTCCTCTGCATGAGCTTTTACCAGCTGTGCCATCTCTCCAGCCCCACAGTATCATTCCTACTGGTGGAGTGGTTACAATCTGTGTTTCTTTGTAGTATATAGGATATTTAACTATTAGAAACTCATTAAAATGTGTTTTCTTTAATTTTTTTCCATGTAAGATGGAGACGGTCCTTCCTTGTGAGTCTGTTTTTCTGTATCCCTGTCATGGGGCTGATGATATATATGATGGTCATGGACCACCACCTTGCAACTCTTCACCATAATAAGAACATGAGTAATGAAGAAATGATCAGCATCCATTCTTCTATGTTCCTGGAACATCAGATACTACCAGGACTGTCCATTATGAATTTACTGTCCTTTTTATTGTGTGTACCTGTACAGGCAAGTGAAATATTAGCAAATATATTTGTTGATAATGAAAAATAGCCAAAATTTGATGGGCACTGTTATTTTCAGTTGCAAAACATATATCATTCAGAACTCTGATATTTTTTATTGAGCTTTTTTAATCTCATACATTTCCCACTCAAATCCAGACCCCCCTCCCCCATCCATGCCTCCCCCCATCTCCCCACCGAACCCTATGCACTCTGTCATACATGCTATTCATTCACGTGTTTGAACCCAAATATCCTTCAATGTAAATACATCCACTGGAGTCATAGTCAGTACATCCAGTGGTTGTATGTAAGTCATCCTCTCCCTCACCCAACAGCAATCAGTCTCAAATAGTTCTCAATCTAGTGCTGGCCCGCCACCTATTTCTCATCTCCCCTTTGGGCCGTTGTTTAATTGAGCTGACATGGGTCCCTCGCTCAATGCCACTGCTGCCACAGGCTCAAGTGGCCTGGAAGGCTCCACCTCCCTGTGTTCACGAACCAGCCCTGGCTCTTACAATCTTTCTGCCTCCTCTTCCTCAATAGTCCCTGAGCCCTGGGTGGGTGAGGTTCCATATAGGAGTCCCATTCTACATTGTACAATCTCTTATTCTCTAAAACTTGGCCAGTTGTGGCCTTCTGTGTGCATTGCACTCTGATGTACAAGGAAGCCTCACTGGTGAGAGTTGAGGGGTGCATTAGCCCTATGGAGACAACTGCAGAGTTGCACATCTGGTCAGGTACAGAAGTCTGATCATTTTATACTAGAAAATTTAAAAAGTTTTAAAGTAGATAATATATTCCATTTAAACCCTGAGACTGTTGTTTCATGATATGCAAGGAAGAGTTCATGGTTTTTTTTTAAAACTTGGCATTCATATCTGCTGTCATATATAACTTTATGTTTATTATTTCTGACACTATTTACTTTCTATTTTGGGTTTTTTTTTTTTTTACTTTTTGTTGCTTTCTGTATTTTTCTACTCTTATTTTGAGTTAAACTTTTACATAAAAAGGTATACTTCCATTAAATAATTCTTTTCATTTTTTTGCTCTTTATTAAAGATAAGTGAGGGTTAAGGATGTAGTTCAGTGACAGACTGCTTGTCTAGTATAGTAAAAGCCTTGAGTTCTATCTCAGCACCTCCCAAAACCCAAACCAAAATAAAAGGCAATAGTGATTTTTTTTTTGGTCTTTTTGAGACAGGGTATCCCTGTAGCCCCAGCTGTCCTGGAACTCACTATGTAGACCAGGCTGGCCTTGAACTCACAGAGATCTGCCTGCCTCTGCCTCCCGAGTGCTGGGATTAAAGGCGTGTGCCACCATGCCTGGCAGTAGTGATTTTAAAAGATATTTTAGTATGTTTTCCTGTACCAATGAAAAAATAAGCTTTCCCATGTTATACTTCCCAACAAAAGCAGCCAATAGATTCTATAGCTTGTGCTATATATACCATGTAGATTGACTTTTCGAAAGAGGGTAAGTTTTATATTTAAAAAAGAACCTTGATAAAAAGTAAATTATTTTTTTAGTTCTTGTTTTAGCTGGCATCAAAAAGAAGAATGCAATAACCACCTGACTTTTTTTTTGAGATAGGATCTCATCATGTAGACTAGCCTGGCCTAGAATTCACAGAACTCCAACTGCCTCTGCCTCCCTAGTGCTGGGATTAAAGGTGTGTGCCATCAGGCCTGGCCCTCTGACTCTTTTTGGTATGAAGTATCCATTGAATCATATAGGATGGATGCCTTGCACAACAATTTGAAGCCCTCCTTCTGCACATACATCTGCTCAATAAAATGCAAACTTGCTCTAGCTGAAAGTCTGCCCAGCATGGTAATGTATGCCTGTACATACATTGAGCAGCCAAAGCAGGAAGATCCTGTCAAATTCAAGGCCAGCCTGGGCTACATATGAGACTATGTAGCAAAAAAAATCCTCTTAGTATTTATTGATTAGGTAGAAGACAAATATTGATATGTTATGTTGTTATTGATACATAATTTGAGTTCAACGTTTAACAAATTTGGTGATTGTCCTTCCTGTGTTCCAGTTTTGTGGAGGCTGGTACTTCTACATTCAGGCTTACAAAGCACTGAAGCATAAGACAGCGAATATGGATGTGCTGATTGTATTGGCAACCACCATTGCATTTGCCTATTCTCTAGTTATTCTTCTGGTTGCAATGTATGAGAGAGCCAAAGTGAACCCTATTACCTTCTTTGATACGCCTCCTATGCTGTTTGTGTTTATTGCACTGGGCCGATGGCTAGAGCACATAGCAAAGGTAAAGTAAGAAAGGCGGGCATTTAAAAAAATCTTGGATCAATCAAAGACCATAATATTTCCTAGACCATTTGTTAGAAATATACATAGACTTATATAGTTAAGCATTTTAGTTTTGCAGTATTTTAAGTTGAATAGTCCTTTTGTAAATTTACCACATTTATATTTCTGCCATTAATAGTCTATGTCCATGGTTATTTTATGAGAGACATTTGAGAAGTGCTTATTTATCCTATCAAATCATTAATTAAGAATTGATGTGATTAAAATAATGAAATAAAAATTCATCCATACTTCTATGCTGTAATGTAAATCAGTTTCTAATTCTGTTCCACAAAAACTTTATATTTAACAGAGTTAAAAGCATAATATATATACCTCTCTGTACTCTGAACACTCTAGTGTTTTCCTCTGCTTAAAGTCTAGACAGTTATTTGATGTTTCAGAATAGTAATAATCTGTCATATCAGTATGCTCTAATTTAGTCAACTATTCTAGTTTTCTTCTCAATTAAGTTATTTCTAATATTTTTATTATAGGTAATCCTGCACCAAACATATTCATGTCTAGTAGTCATTTGTTTTTAACTAAATACTTTAGGAATAATTAGAAAGGATGTGATTGCTGACTTAAAGGGCATCAGTCTCTGTGGTTTCATGCTATATGTTGTAAGAATTTTTGCCAGTGATGGTATATCAGCAAAGTAGTTTTGCCACAACATCCTCAGCATTGCATCTTATCTAAATCCTTACTAAATCAGTAGGCATTAAATGGAATTACAAGGTGACTCTAGTTATCTTTCTTCCATTAACAGCATAGTGCATTTTTCTGTGTACTGTGTATTTGTGTTTTCTCTTGAATGAGCTGCTTATTCCTGTATTTTGCTCATGTATCTATTAGATCCTCATGTTTTTCTTACTAATTTATATTTCCTAAATTATGCTTAATACTTTTTCTAAATATATTTTATTATTTTTATTTTATGTGTGTAAGTGCACCCATGTTGCACAATGTCTGAGGTCAGAAGAGGGCATCGGATCCCCTGGAACTGGAGTTAGGATGGTTGTTAGCTGCCATGTGGGTGCTGGGAATGGAACCCTGGTCCTCTGCAAGAGAAGCCAATGGCTCTTAACCACTGAGCCATTTCTCCAGTCCCTTAATACTTTTTCTAATACTTACTATACTCTTCATATTTTTGGTGTCAATTGTTTTCTGATTTGATTGTTAATATTTCTTTTTTTCAGAGTCTTTCTATGTAGGCCTAGCTGGCCTGGAGCTCACTATGTAGACCAGACTGGCCTCAAACTCACAAAGATCCACCTGCCTCTGTCTCCCAAGTGCTGGGATTAAAGTTGTGTGTCATCATGTCCATTTAATGTTAATATTTCTTAAGCTGATTTTGAGCAAATGTTAAAGATAGTATCTTTATTTTAGTTAATGTTTGAACATTTTCTTTCTTGGCATAGTTAATGTGTTTTTCATTTACAGGGCAAAACATCAGAAGCTCTTGCAAAGTTAATTTCACTACAAGCTACAGAAGCAACTATTGTGACTCTTAACTCTGAAAATATCCTCCTGAGGTATTTATCTTCATTTCTTTTTGAAACTTGTTTAAAACTTTTTATTTCATTTATTTTTGGAGGCTCGCATCTGAATTTGTGTCTTTGCTTCCTTATGATCTCACTTAACTTTGTCTATGACTCCTATGTTACTTGTAAATTAGACGTTAGAGGCTAAGACTTGATTAGATTTCATTATTTTGTATTTCTCAAAAAGTTGTTAAAATAAGCTTATACAGTAAATAAACAGTTTAAGTATAAGCCATGACAACTTTTTTCCTTGTTTTTTTTTACTGTGTATCATTTTTTGAGTTTTTACCCTTTAAAGAAGATCTCCATTTCATTTCAAAATATGCCATTTCCTACACTTTTTTTTTTTGGGGTTTTTGAGACAGGGTCTCCCTGTAGCCCCAGCTATCCTGGAACTCACTATGTAGACCAGGCTGTCCTGGAACTCACAAAGATCTGCCTGCCTCTGCCTACCAAGTGCTGGGATTAAAGGTGTGCGCCACCACGTGGCCAGAAAAATTCATTTTTAATGCAATTAACATTTAGATGTTTGCACATGTGTCTCTAATCGCTATAAATCTGATTATTACTAGTCACAGTTGGTTACTTTCTGAGATCCTTGGCACTTGAGCATGGCTATAAAGTCTTCAGGTAGATTTCAGTGGTAATGTTTTTCACATCTACTAGTTAATAAGGAGCAAATTTTTATGCTTTGAAGAATTAGTTTTTAATCTTTTTTTAAATTTTTAATAACTACATGATTAGAAGAAGCATTTCACTACAGCTTAATGTCA